GATTGGATAATTTACTGATTGCAAGAAGGAGGACTGAGAAAGAAACAATGCAAGAGTGTGACTTGGATATGGATATGCCTTGGCCATGGCTTGGATATGTTTTTCCTGAAGAGAGGAAACACAAATGGGCACTTTCAGAAATGGTCCATTCAGACTACACAGGCTTGGTCAAGGAAAAACATGATCATATTGACTCCCACAGAGGGGATGCCTCAACCTCATATTCCTGAGAATGTATTTTAAATAAAAAAGAGAGAGAGGGACAAGAGAGGGAAGGATGATATTATCCAAAAAGAAATGTACTTTCTGGGGGGGAGGGGGGGGAGGATGGGAAGGGATGGGAAGGGGAAACAAAGGAGAAGGCTACAATGCTTGATAAGAAATGTACTCATTGTCTTGCCCATGTAATTGTAACCCCTCTGTACAGTATTTTCACAATAAAAAAAAGAAATGTACTTTCTACCTGACTTACATAATTGTAACCCCTCTTTACATCACTTTATAGTAACGATTTTTTTAAAGAATATATTTCTTAAGTACACATTCTTTTTTTTTCTCACGACAGAGTCTCACTATGTACCCCAGGTCAATATCCACACAAGTTCTAGGATTATATGCATGCACTACTACATTCTGCAAATAAATTTTTTCTTTCAGTACTAGATATTGAATTCAGAGACAAAGTTGGTAAGTAAGAATCTGCCATTTGAGCCATACCCTCAAATCAGAGATTTTTATATAATCCAGGAAAGGGGTTATAAAGGTCCCTTCAATTGATTGATACTAAATTGCTTGCCAGTCTGTATGTAGGATAACCCTAAAAAACAGATTATGTATCATAGTATAATTCATAGCTAACATTTTTATATGATTCAAGTCAATGCTTAATACAACCCAGTTTTTCTATTATCACTTGATTTTATAGACAGTATTTGCCCAGGGCCATCCAACTAATAAGCAGTAGAAGCAGAAGTCTAACCCTGGTATCTGAGCTGATTCATAGCCATTAGATTGGGATTAAGAGAAAGTTGCTACTCTGGCTTGGTTTAAACTATTTTTTCATTTTCACAAAATCCAACTACTAAACAATTTACGAATCTCCCGCCTTTTCACGATAAAGCCCAGTACAAAGCCTATCATCATCATTTTTAAATGGGGAGATAAATTCTTATAACAGTTTTCCCTTTTGTTTTCATTTTATTTGGTGTTGCAGTGGAAACTAAAATGGTATTTTTTGTCTGCTTTTAAGGACCCTATAATTAACCTCTCCTTCATTTAGCCTAGAATGTTGGTCTCTGAGCACAATAAAAGCTCTGCTCTTCTCATCTGTTATCACCTCATTGGACACAGGTTGGAAATAGTCTGCACAACTTTTTAAATCTGCCACTTGCCCTTCCATTAGTGAAGATGGTCTTTCTTTCCCCTCTCGATGAAAACCTGCACAGTGTCCAAAATATGTTTGACTCCAAAAGTTCCCACAGTTGGCTTAAATTGCAAGCTTAATGTCAGTTCAGAAACCAGAAATGTTCAATGGGATATAAATAGTATCTTTGGAAAATTGGGATTTTTCTCCACGAAGATAGGAAGTGATTCTTTCTTCTTCCCTGACTCACATTTCTCCTCCTGGAACTTGATCTCTTTCTCTGCCAGGTCAAAGCATGGAGAGGAAAAAATGTTAGGGTGGAGGAAAGTTGTCACTTGGCTGGCCCTGATAGTAAGAGTTCTGTGGACCCACCAGGCTCTCCCCGTTGTCTTCTGAAATGCTTTTGAGGTGCTTTTGTGGATTTCCAGCATTGGAGCTCTTATCTTCAGCTCCCCAGAGATGATTTGCATTTGATTGGTTTATCAGTAATAGAGAGATACATGTTGGAAGATTTGTCATACATTTACACACACATACACACACACACATATATTATATATCTAGGGTAATTTGTTATTTAAAATGTGGAAGTATTTCACCATTTATTATATATTATCCTCTTTAACCCTAAAATTGCCTGAGTGCCTAATATGAAAATCCTGCATTGCCTTGAATAATGAAGACTCAAAAGGGAGTGAAGAGCACAATAGAAACTGTTGTCTTAGAAAATGCAGAAGTCATAATACATATCATTACAAAGTTATTAGTAATGGATTTCCTTTTGCTGATCCTTCCTTTTTTGGGGGGTGAGGGTGGGGAGGGACGGGTCACAGGGCTTGAACTTAGCCTAGAATCTGTCCCTAAGCTTTTATGTGCAAAGCTAGTGCTCTATCACTTTGAGCCACAACACTACTTCCTAGTAGTTTCCACCAGTTTCCTGGTGGTTAATGGGAGATAAGAGTCTCATGGAATTTCCTATCTGGGCTGAACCATGATCCCACTCAGTAGCTAGGATTACAAGCGTGAGCCACCAGCAGCCTGCTTGTTGATCCTTCTTGATACAGGTTTTGTTTGCTGAATATGCTAGCTCACCAAATCTGGAACATTCTTAGCTATTTTCCCCAGAATAACTGTCTGCCAACATCTCTTTTAGCATTGCACTGAGTTTCATTTTAAAGGTTCTTATTCTATCCTTTGCACTCTGTGAGTCTCTGATATGTGCTCAACCCCCTCATCTGTGTAAAAGCCTCTCATCCAGGTCAGTAATTCTCTCTTCAGCTATGCCTAGTTAGGTATTTAAACCATCTATGCTATTTATTTTGGACTCATGTCTGAAATTTTGATTTAGGCCTTTTTCCAAGTTGGTCAATCATATTTTAAATTATTTTTATTCCTTTAAAAATTTCATACAGGGCTGGGAAGGTGGCTCAGTGATAGAGTGCTTGCCTTGCATGCATGAGGCCCTGGGTTCGATTCCTCAGCACCATATAAGCAGGAAAAAAAAAAGCCGGAAGTGGTGCTGTGGCTCAAATGGTAGAGCGCTGAAGAGCTGAGGGACAGTGCCCAGACCCAGAGTTCAAGCCCCACCGACAAAAAAAAAATTCATACATAATAAACTATTTTGCTTAATGATTACAGTAGCCATGTCTTTGGAGATTTAGATCTACTATTTATGTTTCTGTGACTCTCACAGTAGCTTTTATTCCTTAGGTATATAGAATTTTTGGTTGTGAGCAAATATTTTATTGGTCTTACTCTATGGAGATACTGAGGAGACTGAGCAGCTATGCTTTCTCTAGAAAGCAGGGAAGGAGTCAATGAGCATTGCTGATTTGGTTCAACTTTAAATTTTCAGTGGTTGGCCTTGGATAGTAAATTCTCAAACTCTCAGAGAAACAATTATTCCTTCTCTTCCTTTTCTGCTTCTTTTTCTCATAGTGGAGAAGCTGATGGAATCTCTTTTTGACTACTGGATTTTTTTCTAAGAATATAAAAGATTCTTTATTTTTATTAGTTTAATGAAGGCATTTTTATTTTTATTTGCTTTTTTTAAAATTTTTTGTGCCAGTACTGGGGCTTGAACTTAGGGCCTGGGTGCTGTGCCTTAGCTTTATTGTTTAAGGATGGCACTCTACCACCTGAGCCACAGATGGCTATTTGGAGATGAGTATTTCACAGACTTTCCTGCTCAAGCTGGCTTCAAACCTTGATCTTCAGATCTCAACCTCCTGAGTAGCTAAGATTACAGGTGTAAGCCATCAGCACCCAGCTCCCTAATGAGGTAGTTTCAGCTATGTAGAAGCCCATGATAGGTTCTCTCATTCCCCTAGGGGAATCTCCAGGATTCTGAAGTCACACTGTGTGTATTCAGTGTCAGGCTTTACTCACAAATTGCATGACTATGGACAAGTTACTTAACTTTTTTGTGTTCCAATGTCCTCTGTGAAATGCTGTCTGAGCAGTATGAATCGATAAGGTTGAAGTGCTTAGAACAGGGCCTGGCCCATGAAACTGCTCTGAAAATGCTGACACCAATCCTCGTTGTGTTTTAGACTCATGTACGGTTCACTGATTGTGTTTCAGCTCATTGGACTTTCGAAACCATGGAATTTAAAAGTTTACTTATTTTCTCTCAAACTGAGCATCATTTATTTACAATTATATCTGTTATAATTTATCCACAATCTAGTTCCATAACAGCTACAAGGCTTTTTGACTATTTAGTCCTATATTATAATGGCAGAACTAAAGATAACATCTCAAAGCAGGCTTAAGGTTTTGCTAGGGACCCTGAGTTTCCTGGAATACTTTAAACTTTCCAGGAAGTGAAAAAAAATAAACACAAAATAATAATTAAAGAAACAGCTTTGTTGCAGGTTCTCCTTACAAGCATGACTATGAACCCCACTTCATGCCCCTGTGGAAGTCTTCCCAACTAACCAGGCAATCATCAATTCCAATAGCTCTTGTCTTCTTTCCCTACACATAAGCTATTTACAGTGATCAATTATAGGATGTATATCACCTCTCATTCAACCCTATATCTTCAGTACATGGTAGTTCCTGATGAATGTTTGTTGAATGCGTGCATGTGTGAATGACAGAATGAGAAAGCAAAACAAAGGTAATAAAGGAAAAACATAATATGAAAAGTGAACCCTCTCTATGATTTAAAAGTAAATACGAATTTGATCTACCACTTTTTCAACATGCTACATTTTCATAAACAAGCCAATTGTTAAATATTATTTAAAGATAAAAGCAAAAACAGTAAAACTGGTTTATCTGAGGAATAAAACTAAGTATAAAATGAAGTGAGTCAGCAATCTGTCACTTTTCTTTAAGAGTCTTCTTTATTACTTCATTTTAGTCACGTAATATATAATTGTAACTACATATATCTTATGAAGTAAAAACACTTAAGTACAAAGTTTGGCATTTTTTCCTGCTGCTAGAAGGTCAACAACACAGCCTGCTGTACTTTTGGTCTCAGAGGTTGGGTCTAATTCTGTGTTGTGGTTTCATTTTAAATTTTGTGCTAAATCCTGATTACTAAAGAATATTGACTCAAAGCCAGGTGGATAAACAGAATTTTGAACTTTAATAGGGCAGTTCAATGGATTGAGACTGGGCTGGCCAGGCCTCTTGACTGGTACCTGAATGTAGTCATAAAAGGCACTGAGCAAATCAATTCATTCCATGGTTTTCATGGAGATCTCCTGATATCAAAATTTATTTCTTTTTCTTACACGTGTCTCCTCTCATCCTCTGGAGATGAAAATTGACATCCATAGTCATATTCTTCCAAAAGAATGGCCAGATCTAGAAAAGGTAATGGTAATAATTTGTTGAATTATTCCTGGGGCTTCCCCAGGGTTTCTCAATGTGTCTATTTATAGATTTTTCTCTTCTTTGGGGAAATAGAAGTTATGTTTCTTTGTTCTGGGTACTATTTAAAATTACATGATAGTTCTGTTTCCTGGTTTTGTTCTTAAAAAAAGCTTTTATATTTATTTTGCAAGAACATTTAATTAAAGAAATAAGTGACTTTTTGAAATCACTCCATCCCTCAAATGAAGCATTCTTTTAAATTTCTGGACAATTTAAGTCAAGCAGATTTACTTTCTTTTAAATCACATATTCATCTGCTGGAAGGATACCTGCCAACTACAGAATTGAATCTTACCATTTCAAGTTAAAGACTATTCAAAAATGGAATGTTATAGGTTTTGAAGACTTTTAAAATATATTTCCTTTCCAAAATGCTTAAAATAAGTTTTAGAAGCACCAGGAGATAGTTTTGTGGAAAAAATTAATCTATTTTAGGACACTGTCTAAAACCTTTCCTTTCTGATCTTTAAGCTGTAAATCCTTATTATGAAGAACCAGGAAATAGGCACATGAAAAATTCCAAGAATAGATAACATGAAATCTTTGCACAATGAATGTCTCTAAAGAGTATTCTCTGTAAAAGGGGGGCAGCAAGCTGGGGATGTGATTCACTGGTAGAATGCTTGCCTAGCATGGCTTGAAGCTCACAAGTTGAGTGCTTGCCTAGCATGCTTGAGACCCTAGGTTCCTTTCCCAGCATGAGAGAAAGAGATAGAGGGAGAGAGAAAGGGGGGAGAGAAAGAGAGAATAACCCAAGGCAAAAACAGGGATACAAGTTTGAAGCTAGCCTCCGCTACATAGTCCTTTCTCTTTTTTCCTCCTTTCTTCTTTTTCTTTTTTCCTTCCTTCTTCCTTCCCTCCTTCCTTCCCTCCTTCCTTCCTTCCTCTCTCTCTCTCTCTCTCTCTGAATGAATCAATACTTTAAAAGAAAAGCTAGGCAGTGCACCAATGGCTCATGCCTGTAATCCTAGCTACTCAAGTGGCTGAGATCTGAGGATCACGGTTCAAACCCAGGCAGGAAAGTCCATGAGACTCTTATCTCCAATAAACCACCAGAAAACTGGAAGTGGTGCTCTAATTAAAGTGTGCTTCATTGTTCAAGTAAACAGGAACTAAATACTAACATGGGAACATGCTGTGCTGAATGCAGCTGACCTCCCAGTGTCATATTAAAGTGTGAACACCAATACATCAATGTTAATGCTTTCATGAAATGAAAGCACCAGTTACTTCACAGGAATTCTTGGGTTTCTGCTGTACTCACCATTTCCTACCTCTCACTTATGAGCAGTTGTGTGGTGAATAGCATGATGAATAAGTTAATTGATTTATGATACAAGTAGTAAAAGAGATTATATTCCCTAATCTGAGATTTTTTTTAAAAAAAGTTTAACGTGATATTTTATAATAGCAAAGAATGTTAATTCCAACAGTCCAGCTTTTCTCTGTGATTTACCCTATAAAACCCTTTGGGAACTCCATAGTGGCCTCTAGATACACCGCCCACTAGTGCACTGCCCCTGAAAAAACTGGCCAGCATGACCTGGCCCTCTAAAGGTCCATGGCATCCACCTCCTTACCTGCAGTGGTAGAAGAGTTAGAATGTAGTAGGTAGGTACTCTACTACTTGATTAACACCCTAAGTGCTTTTGTCTTTAGTTAGCATCACCATACTGGCTTGTTGATTGAAATGGGGTTTCGCTAACTTTTTTACCCAGGCTTTCGTTCCTCCATCCATAATAGCTAGGATAACAGGCATGAGCCACTGTGCCTAGCACAGGCAAGAAATGTGAGTATTAGAAGGTGCTATGGTCTCAATATCTATATCCCCTGAGAATTTCATACACTGAAATCCTCATTCCCCCAAGGCTTTGAGAAGCTATTATATCATGAGGAATTGGATAGTGCCCTTCTCAAACAGTCTCACGGGAGCTTTATAACCCTCTCCACAAAACGAGTTGTCAGCAAGCAGTCACCATCTATGAATCAGGAAATGGGCTCTTAATAAACCCTGAATTAGCCAGTGCCTTGATGTTGAACTTCCCAGATTCCAGAACTGTGAGAAGTAAATGTCTGTTATTTATTAGTGACTAGTTGGTGAAATGCTGTTATAGAAGACAAAATAGACTAAGAAAGACAGTAAGCCAGTCATAGTTAAGGTATTTTCATCACTAGAAGAATTTGCAGTTCCTTTCACAGGCAGGCATAAGGCACACTATGGAAAACAACAACAATAACAACAAACTGCTTTTTATCCGCTCTTGTTGCTTGGGTTTTTGTTTTTTTTTGGGGGGGGGGGTCCAGTCGTGGGGCCTGAACTCTGGGCCTGGGTGCTGTCCCTCAGCTCTTCAGCTCAAGGCGCTATAGCGCTCTACCACTTGAGCCAGAGCACCACTTCCAGCCTTTTTCTTTTTGCTTATGTGGTACTGAGGAATCGAACCCAGGGCCTCAGACATGCAAGGCAAGCGCTTTACCACTGAGCCACCTTCCCAGCCCCTGCTTGTTTTTTTTTTTTGTTGTCTTTTGTTTTTCTGACACAAAGTCTCACTATATAATCCAGTCCAGGCTGCCCTTAAACTCATGATCCTCATACCTCAGCCTCCTGAATGCTAAGATTACAGGCATGCATGGCCATACCCAGCCTCTTACTATATTCTTAGTGTGGAATTTTTATTTAAGCCAACATCTATTATTTCTGGAAAACACACTCTCCTTGGGAAGAATAAGTTACAAGAGTAAGGGCCCCGAGTCTTCCTCAACCTATCAAGTCCTAAAGTGGTATCTAGTCTTTTTTTTTTTTTGGTTGGTCGTGGGGCTTGAACTCTGGGCCTGGGCACTGTCCCTCAGCTCTTCAGCCCAAGGCAAGCGCTCTACCACTTGAGCTACAGCGCCACTTCCAGTTTTCTGGTGGTTTATTGGAGATAGGAGTCTCACAGTCTCTCCTGCCCGGGCTGGCTTTGAACCGCGATCCTCAGATCTCAGCCTCCTGAGTAGCTAGGATTACAGGCGTGAGCCACCAGTGCCCGGCAATGGAATCTAGTCATTTCAGGGAGGAGAAAACATCCATCAGCAGCCTTTGCCACACTCCCACCTCATTACCTGACTTTTAATCCAAGCCTGCCTCTGTTTCAAGCAGAGAACTGCTTGTCACCTATAGCTAGCAATTTAAAACCAAAGGTAAAGAGAATAGGGCAAGCAGGGAGCTAGTGGCTCATGTCTGTTATCCTAGCTACTCAGAAGGCTGAGATCTAGGATCACGGTTCAAAGCCAGCCCAGGCAGGAAAATCCATGAACTCTTATCTCCAATTAATCATCAAAAAGCTGGAAATAGAGCTGTGGCTCAAATGGCAGAGCATTAGCCTTAAGGATAAAAGCTCAGGGACAGCACCTAGGCTCTGAGTTCTATCCTCAGTACTCCCTGTCTCCTGTCTGTCTGTCTCCCCCTCTCCCCCTCTCTCTCACACACACAAGAAGCATGGGACACATAGATAGGTGCCCTGGAAACTTCCCAAGCACTTGGTCCTCTAGCTCTCAGGGGAATAGAAGTTTAAGGCCAGCCTAGACAATCACTAAGCCAGGCAGGGGGCTCTTATCTGCAATCCTCCTACATGGGAAGTGTAGGTAGGAGAATCTTGGTCCGTAACCAGCTGAAGCAACAAGCACAAGACACTATCTGGAAAAATAAAAAGCAAAAGGAGCTGGGGCCATGGCTCAAGAGCGCAAGGTGTACAAGTCCCAGTGCTGCTAAAACAAAAACAAACCCATATGACTTATGAATATAGTATTTATTTTTATTAACTCTACTTGACAGATGAGGTACTGGATATCCAGAAATGAGACCATGTAGATGGGACAACAGTGGTTTCTCCAGAGTACTTTTTCCATCCAGCCAGCTTGAGGGTAGTAGGCTGCCCCCACCATCCACCACTCCCCAGTGGTTTCCCTTGATACCAGCCTACTCCCCATTAGCTTTATCATGAGATCCTGAGAACCCTCCAGCCCCCTGGTCAAATAATTGGATCTATTCCATGGCAGACGTTTCCCTTTGAGGGCTGGCAAGCCAAGAGTGAAACAACCAGTTCCATACAATAGAGATCAAAGAGAGAAATAGAGAAATAGGAATGGTTCTGGACTCCTCCCTCTTCCCTCATTTCTAGTCAGTCTATGGAGTCAGAGTAGAATGAGTTCAAATTAAAGTTACATTAACTACAGAAAAGTTATTTTAGTCTTCAAATTATTTCTTAGTGGAGAAAATATTATTTTAAAACCCTCAGTCTCTAACCTTTTCTCCCTATTTTTTCAAACTTTCCAACAAAAGAATCAAAAGATTTAAGATAGCACAATTTTATTTGAGAAGATGAGGTCACTTTGGAAGAAATAATGTTTCCTTTCAAATGTGCCTTTCCTTCTTAAATATTAATAGACACTCCACCACAACTTTGACCTTCTTATGCAATGAAGAAACAGAAAAGCAGAATCAACACGCCCAGGCTGATTATTAACTAAACTCACAAAGGACTAGTATTTCAGAAATTTTTCATTTTCACTCACTAATGGTGGTTTGTCAGATTTACAGATCCTTTTTACACACACACACACACACACACACACACACACACACACACACACCACTGAGGTGGAAATACAGGAGATTTTGGAGATCTTAAATGGTTTCTGGTGAATCAGGATCCATACTATGCTGTCTCAAATAGGAAGATCCCGGCTCAGGAAGCAGAGTGATGGAGATTCAATCTCATTTACAACAAGATTATCCATAACAATGACCATGATAAGAATTTGGCTTTTTTAAAATTGACTACCTCTTTATGTACCCAGTAAGAAGGACTGCAAAAAAATCTCTTAAATTTAAATAGGATAAAAATGCTGGCTGCTGATTAAAATGCATATATGTATATCTCCTTTTATTACAATGATTTAAC